TTAAATAATGCTTATTAATTACAAATCTTCTAAATGCTTACAATATTTAAGATCATTTTTCAGGCAAGCCATTTATGATAAGACTGTTTGATGCACTTTATGATACCCTGGTCCATCGGCTGCAACTTTGCTGTTGTGTTTGGCGGGAGAAACTGCAAGTTTACTGCTTTCTAATTAGGTAGATCACTATGTGCTGTGCATTTATCCATAACGAATATCACTTTTCTTTTTTTAGCGAAGAATTTCCGATCCAATTTTCTTACATAGTCTTCAAATAAAACTGATGTCATCCAAAACTTTTTGCTAGACTTGTAATCCAAAGGATACGTTTTTACATTCTTGAAACATCGGGGATTTCGGTATTTTCCGATAACAAGTAAGGGCAATTTCTCTGTTCCAAACGCATTTCCTCCTACTAGGACAGTCAAACGTTCCTTGCTCATTTTACCCCCTGAGCAGTTTTCATTTAAAAAATAAACCCATTTCATCAATATTGAAAACATCATTTTAACTGTATCCTTGAAGTAAATTTGGTAACGTTTCATTTAACCACTGTTCACATACTTCAAGAGGGACAGCTTTAGCTTCTCCATGATGAGTGCGAAAGACATTGTGTTGGTGTTGCAAAGGAAGGGGCAAGATATCAGTTCCTAGTTTTTTTTTCTNCAATATTGAAAACATCATTTTAACTGTATCCTTGAAGTAAATTTGGTAAAGTTTCATTTAACCACTGTTCACATACTTCAAGAGGGACAGCTTTAGCTTCTCCATGATGAGTGTGAAAGACATTGTGTTTGTGTTGCAAAGGAAGGGGCAAGATATCAGCTCCTAGTTTTTTTTTCTTGCTTTCAAAGATCAAAAAAAAAAAAAATTCGAGTTAAAGGGAGTAAAATTCGAGTAATCGAGAATAATTAACATGAAATTGGAGATAAAAGGGTCGGGACCTCATTAAAAAATCGAGTTATAGTAATATTCGAGTTATCGTACTTCTGGTTATAGCGAATTGACTGTATCTAGTCGGACCTACTTCCCATATTATTTCAGAACATTTCAAACTTGTTAACGCAATTTATGGAGGAAATGACCTTTAATTGATTTTCAAAGCCATTTAAATATTAGAGAAAGCAGTAAAATTCCTTTCTCCTTTTGTTTGCAAACCAAAAACTCAGACAAAATTAACGAATTTTATCAGTAGCAATTAAACTTAAAAACACATGTGGTAATGTAGATTTAAAATTACTTTTACAATAAATGCAGCTATAATTTTATACATTTATGTATAAACTTAGCCTTTTAGTTGAAAATGTATGTAGCATTAAAGTGTAAGAATGGATTATGCTTTGCTCTATCCTTGCTTTCCATGCAGTTTTCCTTTATGGTCAAGATTTATAAAATAAATAGTAGATACTAGTATACAAGATAAAGGTGTATCAATTGCTATTTTAATTATGCCTAGTGTTTATGAACTTAAAACCAGTTTTGTGTTGCTTAAGTATTTAAAAAGAAAATTTTCTATTTAACAAATTTTCCATATAACGAATTTATTATCTGGATTTAGCGACTTCGTTAAATAGAGGTCCGGCTGAGTATATATATATATCAAATACTTAAAGAAACTAACTCTTTCCAGAATAAATTTCCCCTTTTTTTGAAGAACTATTTATTCATAGCTGTGGATTTTATAGTACTCAAATTTATTTCAATCACTTAAATTCTCACTGCAATCAACAAAAGCAAATCTGTTTTACAATAAGAAATGCATTATTACGTGGTATTAATATAATTTTCCACATGGATGGTAATAAGTTTTGTCTAAGCTTTTGTTACCTAATAAACTGATAAAAGTGGATCTAAATAAAGATACTTCTACAGGGTTGCCACTCAAATCTGGAAAAAAAATTCCCTGTTTTGTCCCTGTACATATTATACACAATATATTAAGAGGAAACACAACAATTACTTTGCTCTTGCGTGAGCTATATTGGGCTCTATATATATATATGAAAATAAGAAACNCTATTACTTATAAAAGTGCAGGCCATATGGCTAGATTCTTAAGTTCTGATAAAAGTTTTATGAGAGATCCATTTGCTTTAAAAATTTCTACTTTGGTTCGCTACCACTAGAAAGAATTATTTTCAAAATCCTCATAAGTTGGAGGGTATGCATCATAGATTACGATTTGAGTGGTCACCATTTTTTAAAGGACGAAATTAAGAAACAAAATTCCCTGTATTTCCTAGTTTGTAAAGAAAAAATCTAAATTCTCTGCTATTTTAGGTGATTTTTAAATTCCCTGTATTTTCCAGGTTTTTCTCTATTTACCCTGTGGAGTGGCAACCCTGTCCCCAAAAATTCAAGCACAATCGAATGGAAGCCTTATCAAACTTTTTTGTCAATTAAAAACTATACTATAACTGTTTCCAAAGGTCAAGAAAACTGAGGTGGGCACAATAGGCCTTGGACCTCTATGGGCTGTCATGCCTCTGAGTTTAGTTTTTAGTTTAGTACTAACACTTACTTTGAAAGAGGATACAACAAAATAGATGCTTCACTCCCCATTTTTTCAACACCTTTCACTTTAAATCTAAAAGAGCAAATATTTACATAAGTTTAAAATATAAAAAATTGATAACCATGCCCTATACTAATAAGCCTTTTTACTATTTATAATAGATAGGTGATAATTAAAAAAAATAATAAGAAAGATTCTTATTAATTAAACAATAAAAAAAGTACCAAAGAAGTTTTAAATGAATCTAAAAGAGCAAATACTTACATACGTTTAATATATAAAAAATTTATAAACATGCCCTTTACTTAAAAGCCTTTTTACTAGAACAATTTATAATAGGTAATAATTTAAAAAAAATAAATTATTAATTGAACAACAATAAGAAAAAAAGCTGCCAAAGAAAGTTTTAAATTAAATTAGGATATTTCAAATATTTTAAATTAAAGCAAAAATCAACAGAAATGAAAAAGAAATAAAGTATAAACATTGATATACTACTATAGTTTCAGTTCTATAAACAAGAACCTTCTTCAGCGTTTAAACACTAAATAATCAGGTAAGGAGATATGTGAAAAGTGATTTAACTAGGAGGAACCCCAAGTCAAAATTTCTGATGGTTTTTCATTGATAGACTAATCTAATCTTGATGCTAACCATCAATAATTCCATCATGAACCATTATATTTTTGATGGTACCCAACACCCCGAGGTAGGAATTCGGACTGATTTATAATGGTCCAACACAAGAATAGAGACTTGTTTTGATGGTTTGTTCATGTTAAACCATCAGAAATTTCCATCATAGTTTCATGGAAATCAAATATTGGAATAATCATGAACAACCATCATCATAATGTAGGAATTCGGATTGATTTGTGATGGGCCAGCATAAAGAAACAAATTGTTTTGATGGCACATTCCTGAGAACCAACAAGAATTCCCATTAAACTATCATGGAAATGTATAGCTGGAACCATCACAGATTGTTGGTCCAAGAGAATCAAACTTCTCTTGATGGTTAACCATCATAGTATTAAAGTGGATTTTTCCCTCATGGAATGATGGAAGTTTGCTGGCATATAAAAAACCACAAATGCAAAATGGAGGATGATAGTGAACATCAATTAATGTGGGACCATCATGAATCACACTGAAACCTACATAAACCATCAAAATGATTTGTTGGAACCATCAAGAATTTTGACTGGGGACAAGTTTGAACTTGAATATAAAAAAGGGTGATAAGTAACAAGTGTGAGGGATTATGGCAGAAGCACAGGGTCCAAAAAAAAATTAAATTAGAATTCCAAGCTTTAGAATAGGATTTTCTTTACCATTTTACTGTCATTTTGTGTTAAAACACCGAGGAACGTACTCATTTATAGAATAAAAATTACAGCAATGTGCTTTCTGTACTTAAACTGAGCATTATTCACATTATTTTTTGCTTTAGTCTAGATAGCACAAAGTTTACCCTATTCTTTTAATGGATACCTTTTAAAAACATTTATTCAAACAAGCCACATTTGTTAACATGCACGTTCACCCTCGTGAACTCGACACTCTTGACTATTTGGGACTATGATTTTATTTAATAATTACTAACAAAAAATTTTAAGTACAACCATACTTGATTCTCAACTTTGACTCATAATATTAAGCATACCCCTAGTGACTGGGGTAAATTTAATAACATAAAATGAAAATTTTATGCATTTTGTGAAGTTCATGTAACTGAACATGAACTTATATATTGAACAATTAAGAGTTTTGATAATAAAAACCAATTCAGATGATGTAGAAATCTTTTTTAAAAACTTAATTTAATAACAAAAGATGAAAAATTTAACCTCTTTTGCAAAGTACATAAGACTGAGCCTGAACTTATGCATTGAACAATGAGTTAGAAACAATGAATCTTACAGGCTCAGATGCCAAAAATAATTCTCAAGACCTTTCTCTCAAAAGTACCCAACATAACCTCATCTGTACAAGATATGGTCCAGGTTTCTCAAGCATATGTTAAAATTGATCTTAAAAGAGATTTATATCATATAATTTTTGTTTTTCAATGAATTACATTAGATTTTTGGTATTTTTGAATTCCATTAAAACATCTAATGGCTGTAGTAATTCTCCTTTGTATTTCGATTGTAACATTGTTCCTGTTGCTGATTACAGAGCCCAAGTAAAGGAAATTGTCAATAAACTCAAATTTATATTCTGGTGTTATTGAAGACTGTTTTAGTACAAGGCAAACATTTAGTTTTGTTCTCGTTTATTCTCAAGCCCATCTTGAGAGCCACTTTCTCTAAGAAATTTACTAAAGTATTTTACATATTTAGAAACATACAGCTGAAAGAAAGAAATATTCACTATTTGTTTGCTTATGAAAATAAAGCTAAAAAGGATTAGAAGCATATTTATAATTTTCCCTCCCTATCTCCATCTACTTTGATCAGAATCAGGCTAAGGCAGGGGCAGTTGCCCCAGGCCGCCACATTAGAGGCACCCCCAAATCGAATAGAAAGTTTATTTTACGTTACATTCTTTAGCAGAAGGGGCCCCAATTAGGCCAAGTTGACTGAGGAAAAAAAATCTCCTAAAACCTTTATTATAGCAGAAGAAAATATTTCTGAAATGTCGCAACCTTACAAGAGAGTATAATTCAGCACCCCCTACCTAGGTTTTCAGGAATTTGCAATAGTATAAAGTATAAAATCAGAATGTCTGAGGAAAAAGCATACAACCTTTCAAGTTGAGCAAAAAATTCTTCATTTCCATTTTCCATCAGTGTAACAGAGGCAAGTTCAATTTCTTGAGCCTGCAACTACATTAAAAAGAAAAATGATAAGTAAAAGAAATAAACAATGCTCAAAAACAAATTTAATACTAAAATAATAATTGCAGAAGGCTGAAATTTGCAGAAGGATTATAAAACTTACGTAAGAACGAAAGTACAAATTAAGAAAGAAAAACATATAAAAAAGCTGAAAATCTTTTTTCTTTGAATTGCGTGCAATATTATTTTTAATAAAATGAACAAAATTTTGGTATAAAATATTGCATAAATACTGTTTTACTGTCATCAAATATTTGTTTGCAAGCATTTTCATCTATTTGCTAACACAAGGATTATGAAATTACAGTGCTCAATGCCCCATTTCATTAAACTTTCTGCTTAAGAAGGAAGCTAACAAAACATTTTTTTCTTTTTTACTGTTCTATTCTAATTACTTTTCATGGAGGCTTGTAGTTTTATAAATGTATCACCCAAAGAATAGGAAAATCACCTTTACTTGACCAAATTGGAATTATCTTTAACCTATTTTCTGTTATTTTGATATAAATGCTTTAGTTTTATTAGTTATACATTATCAAATTCGAAAGTTCACGAAAGATACTACTAAAATGCAAGCAAAAATTTTTTGACACATGGATTTTAGAATAAATATGAATAATTCACAGAAATCGTCACGTGAATTCGAGATTAATTTTCAAACTTAATAATAATCTATGAAACATGAAAAAATTTAGAAGATTTAACAAGAAAGTGAAGTATTGCTAAACATAAAAATTTTGCTAAACAGTCAAACTTTTGTTATGGATTGCAGGGCTTTTTATTTTGAGAAAATCTGGGTAGTTCATAAGTTATTCCTTTACCAAAAAAGATTATCTTACATCAAAAGAGAAACCAGATTGTAGATCAGTCACAATGGAAAAATACAAATCTTTTCAACTATGAGACCCACACTAGTCAAGAATATATTTTCGATTCAATTATATTTGTCACTCATTTCATTCTATAAATAATATTTGAAATTGTATTTAAAATTTGTTGTTGCATCAAAGAGCAGAAATTAATAAAAAAAAAGGAAGAAAAAAACTAATTCATTCTTAACTATAACTATTCAGAATTACCACATAATGATTACAAAACAAAGGTTAGTAATCTTTATGGGGTAACAGGTTTAATACTTTGGAACCCATTTTTGCAAAAAATAGAAATAATTTTCAGGTACATTTTTTAATCATAGAAAGAAATTAATTTTAATAGGCACTCTCTTTTACATTTAATATCAAAAGCACTTAAAAACAAACACGTGTAATAATTTGATAAAATACTAAAAATACTAATACTTTTACAAAATGCAGATTTGTCTTTTCAAAAATTGGAAATTTGTTCCACCGCCGATCTCCACCTGCCTTGGCATCTGTCAATAAACTTTTATCACTTTATAAAGATTATTATAGGGTTGCCACAGAAAAAAAATGGACAAAATAGTTGCTTTTAGAAGCCTAAAGCATGAAAATAGTTGCNGTGGTTATCGCTATAAACAGGTTAAAAATACATTGAGTAAATAGGAATTTCACCGGGACCTCAAGGAAATATCGCTATAGACAGGTTTATCGTTATAGACAGTATCGTTACACACAGGTTTCACTGTATATATATATATACATAATAAATAAATACAAAAAAACACGAAGAAAGTTAACCTTACAAAGGAATCTGCAGTTTGAACGAATTAAAAACTGAAAACTCAAATTTGCAATTCAAAATTTTCAAAAATTTTTATTTTTTGAGAAAAAAAAGTTCAGTGTATTCAAAAGCTATCGTGGGCTGCAGATTTTGAACCCAATTTATGCTAAAAAAAAAACATTTCTAGGAGTACAGAAAAGTCTCCCAATAGTTTCCTTTTCCTGGAAATAGCTTTTTTTAGCCTTTTCAGGCAAAAAAAGTTGCCACAGTCGCCTCATGCCAAAAATAGTTGCCTTTTAGTCACCTGTGGCAACCCTGTTATAGTACCAAAAAAAAAATGAACGAAATACTAGAATCAACAGAAAATAATACAATACATAAGAGTTCCAAGAAAAATTTCAAAAATTCAATACGAGAATTACTCTGCAAAGATCACATAATAGAAGTTTTATACTCAATTTTTGAAATTAAAAAATTAAAAGTGAACAGCCTTTTAAACACAAACAAAAAGTTTTCTTCTAAAAATTGGTTTTGAACAACAGATCCTATAAATAAGGGCTTTTTGTTTCTCCCTTTTATATCAACATTTTGTTACACTAGTAATATTTTGTGAGTAGAAATACAGCAGACCTGCCAACATTGGAGAAATAAAATAACGGAGATTTCACTAGCCGTATTTCTTAGGCTACAAGCAAAGATTTGATACATTATGCATAATCATGAAAGTAAAAAAAAATAAAGAATAAAGAAATAAATTCAAAATTGGAAATAATATAAGCACTTAAATTTAGAAAAGTAAAAACTGTGTATATAAATCTTAATCTAAAAAATATTTTTTAAACTATTATTCATAACTACTTAAACTATAAACACTCAACATACTGGCAATAGCACCATCTGTTGAGGAATTAGGGAAGCATTTTTGCCATCAGCGGATATTTTATCAGCAATAAATGCTTATTAAAAACTTTCCTTAACAAACACGGATAAATTTGAGAATATATGGGTAAACAGGAGATAGTCATAAAATACAGGAGTCTTCGTTAAAAAACAGGAGACTTGGCAGGTATGATACAGTTTTAATGCAAGTTTTTGTCTATAAATAACATTTATTACTAAGAATCCTAAGCTTACTTTATGAAACAGATAAGATGGAGTTTTAGCATGCCAAATAAGGACGGAAATATCACCACTAGAAATATAAGGTTGTGAATCAAAGAGTAACACATGAAAGACATATCCATCTGTGGTTTTCACTCTGAAAAGTTTAAAAAGAAAATGTTAGACAATCACAGAAATTAGAAAGCTAAATAACAACACGTAACAATGTTTAAAAAAATGTATTTTCCTTTTCCCCCAAAAAAAACTATTCATCTGATTTCATTCACATTTTGTGTTTTGCCAAAAAAAATTACATTAGATGTAAAAATTTGCAATCCTACAATTTCAAACATTTCTTATCATGCTTTCTTTTTACTTGTCATAAATAAAATAAAAGTGAAAAATATTTTTTTGCCTGAAATTATCTTAGCAAATAAGTTTTGTTAGTGAGTGCAAAAAGTCTTTAATTTGTGTATTTTTTGAGATATGACAAATATATATGTAACATAAAAAGCTTCAATTAATCTTTTCATGTTATCCTAATTATTATTCTAATCGAAATTCTTTCTCACACTTTTAAAAGCCACATTCTGTTCTTAAATCTATTTTTGGCTCAAGCATGCATTTAATTAAAAGCAGGACATTTTCCCCTTTGCTTTCTGCGGGAAACGTTCGATCTATTTCATAAACCAACAGCAAATACTAATACTCTTTCCCTAAATTAAGACATTTTACGGACTTTGCAAGATTTTCCCTAACATATAACCAAGGAGCGCAACTTTTCACGTTCACTTTCATGCTTCTCATGACTGCTCTGCCTAATAATTAATAAATAAATTTTGTACCCTCCTTCCCGGCCTAAGACCTCTTTTAATCCTTCCACTCGGCAACGACGTTATATATATATAAAATTGGGAGATAGTAGAGTAGTTATCGCCTATGTTAGGGGTGCACAAGCTGCGGCCCACCAACACTCGTAACAGCAATTTAAACAAAAATTTTGAAAAATCAAAACAAAAAAAAAAAAATTTTGAAAAATGGAGGAAAAAAAAATCGAAATTTTTAAATTTCCGCCTTTAAGTTTTTGATGCACCCAATCTCAATCAATTTAGTTTTTCGATCGCTATTTTTCGATAGTTAACGCTACGAACGTTAGTTTTAAAAATAGTTTTAAAAATCCCAATATTTTTATTAAGTCATTATTACGATACACGAATTTAGAATTTTAGTTATCACTTTTGACGCTCTTCGTGTGTTCCGATTTCACAGTAAATCCAATGGCTTTTCGATGGTTAATGCTACCCATTTTCACTTTGTTTCCGAAATCACGATTTTCGAAAGTTATGAAAGCATTATTTGCAGAAAATTCATAGCAAATATAAATGACTTTTGATCCTTTTTTCGGCAGTTATTGTTACACATTTCCGCGTGGTTTTTAAAATTTTGATATTTTAGCACGTTATTATTACGAATAGCAAGTAAAGAATCATTCATTTAGATAACTATTTTTTGACGTGGTCCATTGTGCAAAATTATTTATCCATCGTTTACTTTAGTAATTACTGTTATGCAATTCTGCAAGGTTTTGAAAGTCCCAATATTTTTATACGCTATTGCGACACTTTAATTTCAAATCCCGCATTTAAATACATCACTTTTTGACATCATAAATCCATTTTTCATTACATAAAAACACAATTATACTTCCTCCTCTTCAAATGATCGCCATCAGAGTTCCGTCATTTTATTATAATTCATTAATTTAAAATATGTTCAATTAAGTTATAAGGTATTTAAATTGAAGACTTGAGAATATATCTGTTATACCAACCAATTAAGATTTATTTCAAATCATCAGTACTTAGATACTTAAATAGTAAGCAATGGCGTTATACAATGCAACTGCTAAGTCCGGTAAAATCCTAGAATCGCACACCTCTTGGCGCCTTTCAGAAATCTCGCCAAGTTGGCAATTTACTGGGATCAACGTTGCTTTTTGATTATTAAAAATTATTACAAATTTATTAATATATTTTTTAATTGGATAAAAATTTACTTCAACATTTTCAACCGGTATCGCACAAAAAAAAATTAAAAAACGAAATAACGACGATTCTAACAAGAGATTAGAATAAAGTAAAATTAACGTTAATAATAAATATAATAATAATAAATAAAGTTCAAAATAATCTCCCCGAAATATCCTCCAGAAGACTAGTTTGGCGAGATTTCAAAAACTTGTTTGGCGACGTTTGAAAAAATCGCCAAATGGCGGGTTATTCTAGGATTCACCCCTAAATCCAATCAATTGCTCAAAAATTCTTAAGAGTGTTCCAAAATTAATTATCTTGTTTGCGATATTATTTAAACAAGGATGTTTAAGGCGGTGAAGACTGTGTAAGTTTTATTCAAATTAAAGTATAGATATTTCAATTACATATTTTACTATTTGCCTTCCTTAATGTATTTAAAAAAAAAATTTATTTAATAAAAATATACACAGAATAAATCACAGCTAACTTGATGAATACAATTTTAAAAATCACAATCGTGATGTATTTTGAATTTATAATTCTTTACTTAAGTTACATTTTAAGCTGTTAAGCATCTTTTTAACTTTGAGAACATGTGCTTTAAATTTCAGTGAATTTAAGTTTCGTCGTCACACTTCTATCAGTTTGTTTTTCGTGTAATTTGATAACACAACTCTTAAGCCAATAAAAACAATAAATCTTTTTTAGATTATTTTTAATGTACTTTACATAAATCGTCATAAGGTTATTTTTATGCACAGTATGCGAGTTCCATTTTAATGCAATAGATTTTGGTTGCATCTGGTGTTTATATTTAGGGAGTAAAATCGAAAAGGCACGCGCTATTCATCAAAATTTCTTCGTTTTACACAATCTGCTTAGGTTAATGCAGCGTTTTCCAAACTGGGAGGCGCGGACTAGTCTAAAGGGAGCCGCGAAAATTAGTCACAGTGAACAATTTTCCAAATTACTGCTAAAGTTTTCTATGCAAAAAATGACAGAATAAATTAAAAAATACCATCGATCTTTATCGCGCATAGTTCAACTAAACATTTCGTAACTTAGCATCCATATACCTAGGCGTCCTAGACCCCGGCAAATCTTTTGAACCAAGGCCGTCGTTAATTTGGCGACACTAGCACCACTCGACCGACACAACTTAACAAAAGCCAGATGCGCGCACTAACACCACTGGATGCCACACATCCAGAAAAGATCGACGCACGTTTAGCTCACCAATTTGGTTCGTGTCCCAGCTAATATTTAATTGGTTCAGCAGTGTTAGGTTGTGTTTCTATTGTTATTGACGTGATTGCCTACTGATCATAATAGTAATTTAATAGTTTTATTTTTTTAGAATAATATAATATTATTCCTAATATTTCCAGACAAATGGATAAGTTTTTGATAGGATAAAAGCGAAAATCCACTAATAATGAAGATTCTGATGTTGGCACAAGTAGTGGGAATACAAGCCACAAGGAACAGGCAGGAAGAACTCCCAAGACAAGGAAATACGACTTATCCTATTTATCGTTCGGATTTACTAATATTATTAACGATAATGTGGAAAAACCAATGTGTTTGTTGTGTTCAAAAGTTTTGGCTGCTGATAGTATGAGACCCGGCACCTTGAAACTATTAATTCTGAATACGTTGGTAAGCTCCAAGAATTTTTTCAAAAAAAATTGGATGAGTTATCTAAAAACAAGCAGAATTTCAAAAAAATTTTTCATATTCCATCAAATGCATTACTAGCATCATACCTAGTGTCGTACAGAATCGTGTAAAAAACCCCACACAATAACAGAAACCTTAGTTTTGCCGGCAGCTATTGATATGGTCAAAACAATGTTTGGCCAATCTTATCTTATACGAATCAGCTGAGACAAATACCGCTTGCTGCTAATACAATTGGCAGAAGAATTGATGATATATCTGAAGATCTTTGTGACCAATTAGTTTCTCGAATGCGTACTTCAAAATTCGCCATACAAGTAGATGAAGCTACTGATGTAGCTAAAGACGCATATTTAATTGCATATGTTCGATATGTGGACGATACTAATATAATTGAAGATATCTTATTTTACAAACCAATTCCTGACAGAGCCACATCCAATGAAATTTTCAAAATACTAGACAGATTTTTTAATGAGAACTGCATAATGTGGAATAATTGCATTGGGCTCTGTACTGACGGTGTACAATCAATGGCGGGACACAAAACTGGTCTTCAAACACTAGTTAAAATGAAAACACCTGAGGTACTCTGGACGCACCGCATGCTCCACGGAGAAGCTCTCGTATCAAAAACTATAAGCGAGGAGCTTAACAATGTTTCTGCAAAGGTAACGAAAGATATAAATTACATAAAAAACAGTCCATTAAAAGCAAGGTTGTTCGCAAAACTGTGTGAAGATATGCGAGCTAATTACATGTCACTTCTGTACTATTGTGAAGTGCGCTGGCTATCTCGTGCAAAAGTGATTCAAAGGGTACTTGAACTCAAAGAAGAAATTGCTTTGTTTCTCGAGGAAAATCATAATGAAGACGGCAATATGTTTAGGGATGATAATTTTATCGTTAAACTTACATATTTGGTTGACATTTTTGAAAAATTGAGTGTTCTTAATAAATCAATACAAGGACCGCAAATGCATTTGCTTACACAAAAAGACGAAGTGAAAGCATTTATTGAAAGAGTGGAGCTATGGAAATCAAATTTGCAAAGAAATAAGATTGACATGTTTCCACGTTTAATTTTATGCGCCCGAGATAACATAGAAGCAAACAAAATTCTCTTTGTGGAACACTTGAATGGTTTGTTGCTTCAATTTTCGAATTATTTTGGTGATCTTGATTTTACAAGGTTTGCATGGATACAGAATCCATTTATCGACGAAGAAGATGATGAATTTGGATTGACAAGTATTGAAAAAGAAAAATTGACTGAATTATCTTGTGATACTACATTAAAACATAAATTTCAGACTGCATCTCTGGTTCAATTCTGGTTGAATCTTCATACAGAATATAACACTTTGTCAAACAAAGCTTTGAAAGTACTGCTGCCATTCGCAACATCATATTTATGCGAAACGGGATTTTCTGTCTTGGCTGC